AACTTGACTTTCTGAATCTTGCTTACCACGGTTGCGCGCAGGTGCAGAATGTTTTGGTTCAATGACTTGAGGTTCATCTGAATCAATCTTGTCCAAACCTAATTCCCTAGCTACCTTGTCAAGCTCATCTTCTTCATCAAGCTTGGGATAGGAGACAACAACCTTCTTTCTTGATGAACCTGATTGAGAGTCATCGACAACTTGAGGTTTCTGCTTACCTACGTGTCTTTTGGCTGCAGGTGGACCTACCTCAATCTTTTTCGAGCCTGGTCCATTTGAAATCGGTTTGCCTTCCTCCTTCTTTAAGGAGCTTGGCTTCTTCTTCTGTACACCTGATGGCACTGAAGAGGCTGACTCAGGGTGAAAAAGATCATCAATGTTTCCACGAAAGGGCTTTGCACGATCAATGTCACTTCTGACAATGTCATCTGGGATCACGTAGTCCTCCTTGATCTTGTAGATGGTCTTGCCCTTCCAGAACTCTTCACTCTGTTCAGAAAACCTCTTCTTCAGTGCGCCAGTTGTCCTTGTGAAGAACCTTCTTCTTGCTCTTCTGGAATTCCATGTGAGTTTCTCTCTCATCAAGAAGTTGATCTTTTGGAATTGGAGTTTTCTCTGATCGAGTCATCTCATGTAAGTTCATTCTCTTGTCCTTGTGGTGCCTGATGAGTTCACGACGTAGTGAATCAACCTGCCAGTAGTCACCAGTCACCAAAGCTTCTCCATCATGATCATCTTGTTTGACAGCAATCTGGCTGTACTCAAAGTGATCGTGTTGTGAATAGAAACTTTTGACTTGTGGAGTTTTGAAATGAACTTGGCTCATGTACCATGCTACATCTTGTAGGTCGAGAATGAGATGAGTACTAATGGCTGTCCTCAAAACCATTTTTCTCATGCCAATACGTGCACAGGACAAATAAGCCTTCTCTGGAGTAAGTTCAAATTGAAATCCAAGGTTTCTCATCTGTGGAAGTGACATCAACAATGGGACATCACCTTCTTCGACAATGTCGAATTCTGTAAACTGAGTGTTCCATCCATGATCATACATGAATATCACGAGCTTCTCAGTACATTTTGATTGTTGTGAATTTGCAAAGAAGAATCTTGAACTTGTTGGCTGAATTTCATACCAGAGTCCACTGTTGGGATGTGAGTCAACATATCTGCAAAATGCTTCAACTGCTCGTCGAGAGCCCATAGCTCTTGTGCATCCAAGATCCAGAATACACACAGTTGGTGGTGCAGAATTCTCTGTGTGAAAAGCTAGTCCATTCTCACATGCCAGATCAGTTTGTACAGTATGAAATGAAAAAGCACTCTGCTGTGATGGTTCCTCTATCTCTGTAGAGCATCCATATGAAAACAATGATGTGCCTTTTGCCAATGGCTTCCATGAAGCCTCACCTTCTTGAAGACCAACTTGCCTGGGCACTACAGCTGGACGTTGTCGTACACCTTGTCGTAGTGCATCAACTTCTCCAACCAGAACAGGGAATCTCTTCTTTTCCCTTAGGTTTTGCTGTGCTCTTGCATCACGTTGGTTCTGTCCTCCACGACGAGTGCGTCGTTGTTCATCTTGTGCTGCATACGTGGATGTCAAAACATCAACACGTGCTGGCTCTGTCTCTGCAACATCAACACGTAATGGGTCAGGTGTTCCAAATGAAAAGAAACCATGACCAGAGCTTGAAGCTGCAGAAGAATAATGAGCTTGTTGAGTTTGTTGATTCTGTATGGCAGGAGCTGATGTGGTCTGAGGTTGAACATAGTTCGACTTGCCTTTTCCATCTCCTGGCTTTCCTCCTTTTCCATCATCATCCTTGCCTTTCTTGCCTTTCTTTCCTTTTCCTTTTCCTTTTCCTTTCTTCTGGAAGTATCCATACTCATCCATGTAGTATGAATCATCATAGGCCCAATAGCCTTCATTCCAGGTTTGATCATCGGCCCAATAGCCGTCATAGTTTTCATTCCATTCATCATCTTGCCATTCATCTTCATAATCTTCTTCACTCACCATGTGAGCACGGCCTTTCCTTCTTCCTTTTCCTCGGCCTTTTCCTTTCCTTGATCTGAAGAACCTTCGTCCTCCTCTGCCTTTTCCTTTTCCTTTTCTCTTTCCTTTACCTTTGCCTCGTCTGATGTATTTGCCTTGGAACCTTCTCTGATACCATGTGAAGTTGGCGTCATCATAAACCCAGAAAACATCTTCTAAAGCATCCAGGAATCCTTCTGCGCCGTCTTCTTCATCTTCGGCCCAATAGCCGTCGGTTCCTTCTAATTCACCTTCATCCAGTACGAGGAAAGATCTTCTCTGTGCCATGCCAGAGGGTTGCATCAATGGATTGTCAACTGCTGTTTTGGTAGTGCAAAACATTTCCAAAAACAGGTCACGTAGTTCTTGAATGTGTATCGATCGAGGGTTCGTCCACGATGTGTCATGATACTTGTGAGTGTGTTTCTCTGATCTTGACTCAGGTCAGCTAGACTTACAAAAATCAATGCTAGCAAATTTTCACCCAGTGGGAATGCTTGTCGCTGTACTTGTCTACGATCTTCCTGAAATTGTCTAAATGCCGCTAGTGCCAGTTCATCTGACCAAGGAACAACTACATGAGGAGCTGCTCCTGAGGCTGCTGCTACTTCAGCTCGTTCTTGTTGATCTCGTTCATGTTCTTGACGTCGTTGCTGAACAAACAGGATTGCTTCAGGACTAGTCACTGTTACTTCTGGAAGTAAATCCATCCAAGACTCAATAAGTCTATTGCCAGTGAGTTGAAATCTAGTCATCCACTTCTGAAGATCCATGGTTCCTCTGTTGAACTTCATGAACTGCATGAAACGGTATAAGAACACGTTCTGGGCACCTTTGATGAAATGAGGTCGTAGAAATCTTTTGAAATAAGCCACTCCTTCATAGGGATCCCTGAGTAATTCTCTATCCAATAGCCTCTTGTATTGTTGAGCATCTCCTTCCAGTCTATTGCGCAATGCTGGACCACGTTTTTCTGGTTCTAACTCCGTAATGTCACACCAGTCATCGATTGCATCCTCAAAAGCAAAGAAGCTGGTTCGCCCATCATAGGCTGGAGCAACCTTTGTGGTCATCTGTTGCGTCATATGAATCTGTGTATGCTGGGGTGCTCTTCTCATTGCATAAGAGTCATATTGGTTCCATTCATTTGCATCGACAATGTCGAAGTCATCATCATCATAGCCATGGCTTGCCATTGCTTGGGCTCTTCCTGGAGCTCACCCTCAATGAGGGATCACTGCTCCGCTACCACTTGAAGAGGGGCCCTAGCGTCTACTTCAAGATCAGCTAAGGCGTCTTCCCCAATGACAGCACTTGTTTTACTCAGCCTGTTGCCGGTCCGTGCTTGTCTACAGGGTTACTCTATATACCTCTTGAGCCTTGAAGGGCGCATATAAATGTGCTCAATACTCATGCATGTACCTATGTAGGTATTAGGTCGAAACAAAAACAAGGGCGCAGCGCCTCCCCCCAAAGCAGATTGGAAACACCTATTTTCACATGCAAGGTGCTGGGTTGAATGTGATACTCAAGGTGTATAGGCTACACAACATGCACCCTGGAAACATGTGGAATACAGATAAGGCACATGGTTTTCATGGCTTTTTCCGAAGTTTTCATTTATTTTTGGAAATACACGATGTGCAAACTACAAATTGTAGATGTAAAAAGGTATATGCATGACTAATCATGACTATATGTATATGTAGATCAGTGCGTTTACACGTGTATTTAATATATATATATATATCTATATGCAGGGTTTGGTTTAGGGTTTATTTAGGGTTTACGTATATAAGCCAAAAGCCAAAAGCCAGGTGAAGCCAAAGCCAAGAGCCAAGTGAAGCCGAAGCCAAAAGGTCTTATTCTCCTGCGTTCATTTCCCGAAGCATGGAATACGTAGTTCAACTATCATAATGTATCTTTTCTTTACGTATATTAAGGGAAATTAGAGTCTTATTTCCCTTCTTTCCCGTAACATTGAGTAGTTCAAAACAATATAGCCAAGAGCCAAGTGAAGCTAAAACCAAACACCAAAAGCCAGGTGAAGCCAAAGCCAAAAGCCAAGTGAAGCCAAAAAGCCAAAAGCCAGATTATGTCTTTTCTTGACTTATCGAGGAGATAAGGGGCCACAGAAAGCCAAAAGCCAGAAGCCAAGTGAAGCCAAAGCCCAAAGCCAACAGCCAAAGTGAAGCCAAAGCCAAAAGCCATGGCCCAAAAAAACTAAACGCCAAAAAGCCAAAAGCCAATAACCAAAAGCCAAGAGCCAAAGTGAAGCCAAAAGTTAAAAGCCAAAAGAAAGCCCGAGCAAAGCCAAAAGCCAAAAGCCAAAAAGCCAAAAGCCAAAAGCCAAAAAGCCAAGTGGGCACTTGAAGCCAAAAGCCAAGTGGGTGCGCAAATGAGAGATCCTAGCTCCAAAATGCATGCAAAACACAGATTTTAGCTCCAAAGAGCAGCAAATAGCAGGGAAAGCTGCTCCAGACTGAAAAAACAAAAAAAAAACAAAAAAAAAAAAATCCTAAAAAAATATACCCTCCAATGAATATTGTCAATTACAGTGAAGTATAATAAGCATAGGTAGTGGGCAAATTAATGTGAATTATAGTGATATACTTGCTATAATAGTGGTGATACTTGTAAACAATACTCCTCAAAGCCCCATGTGTTGCATCTCCCAAGCGCCTCAGGACCACTTCAAATATCACCGGAAGATTGGCTGGAGCCAACGTCCTGGCAAAGATATTTCTGCCGTATCACGTGGTGACAAAAAATGTGGGTCAAAAGCCTGGGACCTGCTAAGCACCGAAATAACAAAAAAGCTGATATGTGGTTGTTAATTATAGATGAATGATGTCAATCTATGTCAATCCATGTGGATCCTCCCAAAAGTGGTCATACTGGATTGACCCATCCCTTTATCGGCCATCTTCTCTCTCGGCCGTCTTGTACCTGGAAATGAGGATTAACCCCCACACGCCTGCAAGTTGCTCCTTTTCTTGGCTTTCAACGCTGTCAGTCTTTCCATCTGATTCAGCAAAACTAGTGTCTGCTGGTGCGCACCGCCTTGCTCACAGTTGGAAATGACTTCGGAAAAAGTCACCACGTTGACGGCATTCCATGCTCTCGCCGCTTCCAGCAAAGCAATTGCTTCTACCCAGCGTCTGAAAGCCTCCAAGAAGTCAATTATTCCTGAACTAATCTTCAACATTTTGAGAGTTACACTTCTTTGAACCTGGTCATGAAATCACGATCATCACAGATTGGAAGAAGCTGGAAAAACCTGACACGGGTTTTGTGCTTGGGCGGATAGATCGGATGGATTTTGGCCCCACCTGACACGCTCGGATCGCTGTGTTGGAAGTAATCGGATCCTGGCTGATCAAACTCTCCGAGTCTATGTGCATTTTGGGCTGTCACAAGTGCTTAGTGATGAAGATTCTGGAGGAGAATTCATGTTCTTGGCATGTCTTGGCTTCAGAAAAGAAACTGACAGAAACCAAGATGGGTCTGTCTGAAAATGTGGTATATATACCACCAATAGTGGTTATATAGTTATATATTTACTAGGGAAAATCATGATTATATAACCATGATTAATCAATGAATTTAGGGGTACACTTTCAGACATACTCAGGTCAGCGCACTTGGAAATACTCTCAAACTCAAACTGGGAAACTGGTCTGGAGACAAGGGTCCAATTCAAGCCTCAGAAAATGGACTTCACTGAGCAATGCCAGAGCGACTGTCCAGTTCTTTTTGGCAGCAGCAAGAGCAGTGTTGTACCTCAAATCGCATCCTACATGCGTTTTGAACAACTGCTTCCCATGGAATTCGCAATCGTCATGAAACTTCAGATGAACTAAATTTAAACTCTGAAAGCCAAAGATCAGCGGAAGAGTCATCGAACTACATCCATTTCTTGGTTTTCAGTCTCCAAAGGTCTGGGTGCTGGCTAGGAATGCAGTGATGAACTGCAAAAATCAGTTTCAGTCAGGACCCCAAACAAACTGAAATAGATCGTGGTTTCCCCCAACAACGATGTTCGATGCAAAGAATTTTCACTACCATGGGGGTTTCAGAACATTAAAAAACATATTGAAAAAATCCTCAAAAGATCTAAAAAGTGCCAATCTGAACCTATTCTTCAGCTATTTCCAGCTCAGGCTCGAAATAAGGTCCGCAGAAACATTCGCCAGTTGCCTCAGTTGCCTCAGCAAATGCAAGGCACCTTGCCAGCAAGAGTCTTTCTCACAGGCACCGATTGCTGTGTTGTAAGTGATCAGATCTGCCTGGACCATGAACAGGGTGCCCCTCCAGAGTGGCCATTTCAATGGGGAAGATATGGGAAATGATGATTATGATTAACATTGATTGACCATCAAATTCGAGGGTACATCATCAGCATCAGCATCAGCATCATCAACAACATCAACATGAACATCAACATCAACCCATCATTGACTCCCCTTAATATTCCTAAACAATTTACCATATTTTGGAAGTAATCCATTGTGCGATATTGTGCGTGCAATCGTTTTGCCATTCCCTATATGAGTTTCAGTATAGGTCAATACCGTTGGTATCCTGGCGAACATCCCACTGCTCGCAGTCGATGGACTCCATTCCCTTTGGCTTGGTGATGGTTCGCGGAAGGATGTTCACAATGCGTTCACAATCTACTTATACAGGACTACTCGGCTAATTTCAATGGCAATGCCAAATGTTGGTCACTAGGTCTTGGTGTTGCAGTCCAGTGGCTAATATGACTCAGGTTGCTGAAGCCTTGGGTTCATCTGGGATTTCACTATTCATTGGCCTTGCATCTGGATGGTTAAAATAGCAATCGCCATCTTTGAGCTCTGGATATGTCAAGCCACGGAACATCTTCAGAAAGTACTGGACCGGTGAAATGGCATGATATACTCAAGGCCCGGTTGAGCTTTGGTTTCTCCATCGGTTTGAGAGATTGCCCGAACATGTAAGCGTTGATCAGGCTAGTATTTTTTGATGTTTGATTGCTGAGGCAGGATAGGACGTCCTTTTAACCTGAATTATTAATATGTCCGCTATATTTCAAAGAAAGGGAGGTTTTCACCACATGCTCTAGTACCAGCACAGTGTTGGTGTTGTGCTCAAGATGTCCTTGCCACTTCCGCGGCAAAAGTATCAGTCTCTTGCCATTCTTGTCCTAGTGTTTGATGGAATGGCAATACTTAGATTATCTTAGCAAGGTGATTACCACACTCGAAAGCTGTTCTTTTCAGTGTTCGAACTGGGGTGTGAAGACCAGTGGTCAGTTTGAATGATATTGCAGCTCTAGCCATTGAGAAATCATTATGTTCACACTCTTCATCCCACTGCAGTTCCTTCAGCAAAGCATATCCCAAATGCCCAAAATACAAACAGAATAGATCGTTTACTAGGAGTGCTCGAAAGACCATGCCCCATAGTACACTTGACAGATATTAAAACTGCAAACAAATGGGGAAACGCTTGGCATTGATCTCCCACCAATATGCGAACTGCCCGTCCTGCACTGTCTTCTCTTCCATGACTGCCAAAAGCATCATAGCCACCGGCCATGATGCAGCCGAGATCACTGAATTGAAACTAACAACCTGCAGTGATCTTGGAACGTTCGAGATACAGGAATGCTGCAATAGCTGAAGGGTCTTCCCTGATCTTCTCTAAGCTTGTTTTCGGCGAATGAAAAAGACTTCAAAAAGGCGTAATTACTTAGGACGGCTGGTGATACCACTCCTTGTCGTGGTGGTGGCATCGGCAATGCAACGAAAGGACAAGGACCTGCTGAACTACTGAGGGAAACCACAGAGCAAGGACGAGTTGATGTATCCGATAACTGTTTGGTGGTGACCAGCATTCTGCGGTCTGTGGAACAGAATGTGAGCTGCTTGGAATACTGATGAGAAAGGTCCGACTGAAGACACACCTTGTGCGCATCAAACACTTCAATATTTGTGCACGTCATCATACTTCATCCACCTCCTCCATACCCGTCCAAGGCACCGTGGGCTGAATCGTTTGCTGCTCCATGGCTCCCAAAAAGTTTATGGCCTCTTGAAGCTTTTGGCACCTTCCACAAGCACTGATTGCCTAACGCGCCAAGGCCAAGATTGAACTCTTGGACGCCCGGGTACTTGTTGCCTATCAACCTTTAGGATGCGAAGGCACAGTGTCGCCAAATTCTGGAGTTCGGTTTTTCGTTTTTTTCCCGTCATCTCTGGACCTTGTGCCCTTTGTTGACGGAAATCGGCAACAAGCTTTCTTGGGACACTCGGACGGCATGGGAGAGCTATGGACTATGGAGAGCTACCTCGCTTGCCATCTTACGGGTTGCGGTGTTGTGCAGTTTGTGGGGGATGGCAGCAGGGAAAATGTCAGATTCCGATTCAGCTCAGTCTGAGGTTTTGTAAAACCCTTGCAATTTTGAATTGCCATGACTCACTGGGAATTTCAGGATCCTAAAATGGAGGTACTGTACCATATAAGGCCATATTTTGTGGGGATGTTCCCTTACATAGGCCTTACATAGGCCTTATATATGGTAGGTACCTCCAATTTAGGTTCCTGAAATGGCCAGTGAATGACTGAGAACAGGGGCCCCAAACGAATCATGTGGTCATATTTACTAATAAACCATCCCATATTGTATGTCGTCCAAGAATGTCCAAGATGGTTAACACTAACAACTACAGTACCAAAATAGGAGATTTTTGAGATCCCATGGGCCATCTCATGAGCCTTCGATTTTGATTGACAGCGATTTGCTGGCGGATTTTCTCCGTCATGACCCTCTCCTATCCCCCCTTCTTTGGCCAAGTTTCCGCATTAAAAGTGATGACATCACAGGAAATCCCTTGCCGTTGAGCCTCGCTCACCAGCGCCAAGGCCTGCTAGGTAAGGCAACCACCATATGGACTCTATTGTGCCAATCTTATCTGCCCAGTTTTTTCAGTAGGGACATTGCTCTACAAAGCAAGAAATCAAGCCATCAGCAAACCAAGGTTTACTAAGCTCATGGTACAGCCGCAACAAACCAACGCGTCAACGCGCTAAACTTCTCAATTCCAACTCCCCAAATGAGAAAGTGCAATTTTTATCCAGTCGGTTGCAAGTCTCCGTCTCCTCCTCCTCATCATCCTCATCTTCCTCCCAATTGGCCTCCTTCCATTGATTGGATTTCTCACATGCACTGATGGCGGCATTGAAGGTCACGATGTCCGGCTCAAGCATGATACCTGGCATGGACGGTGGAAAGTTGTGAAGGGAATTCCAACTCTGCTCAGTTGGCCAAATACCAAACTATTTCCTCTCTTGAAATGCTACAAACATCTATGAGACACATTCTAAGGCTCTAAGTTTTAAACTACTATAGACATAAGAATATACGTATATGTACCATTTTATATACCATAATATACATTAATATACCATATACTTATTGCAACTGTACATCCAACATCTTCCATCCCAAACTTCAGCCACATCATGCCACATCATGTTCCCAAATCATCCGTCTCACCTTGAAGCTCCTCCAAAAGGTCCAAAGCCAGCTGAACACCAACGGCGCTGATCAGGGCGTTGTAGCTGATCAGCGTGGGCAGCTGACGCCTCAACTGGATCTCTTGGAAGAGTTGCGTCCCCCAGCGCCAATCCTGAAACCATGGTGGAGATGGGATCAGAATGGGGCCTGTTTCATGTTTCAAAGTGAGAAGCTCCAAATACCACTGGAACATTCTGTTCTTGAAAAGATTGCTTGAAATTTGGTTGGTTGACGTGGTTTGCACGCTTTTAGGACAAACCCGTGTGGGTGGCTGATTCCAGCTAACCCAAGGCAGGTGCGAGCGAACCATTAGAGAGAGGGGGGCAATCATTGGCAAAGTTTTAAATCTCAGAGTGTGGCGCGAAGAATCGTGAAATAGCGAAATGTTTTCAGTGTTGAAATCAGACTTTGTCCAGTCGGGAAAATCTATTTTGGTGTCTGGTGCCCCCCCCTCATCGCTAATTCAATGGATCCTTTGGCAAGCCACCTCGCAAGAGCTCAGGGCTGTGCTGTAGCCAATCCTGATATCACTGGAGCTCGAAAGTAGTGGTTTGGTATGGGCCAGGAGTGGCCAAGACCCAGCTAAGGTTTCTGTCTCAAAGTGAAAAAGTGGATCGGTCAACAGAACATCCGATGAATTCCCGAAACAAAATGTGGTGTATCTTGTGGGGCTGTGGGGCAATGTTACAGAATCTGAATATTCTCCTCCAACATACTTGTCAAAGCCGAGAATCGCATTGATCTTCAAGTGGTTGATTGCAAAATGTGTCAGTAAATTCACAGCCTCTGGCCATGTGCAAGCACCAAGTGATGCGCTGCAGGTCACTTCGGATGGCTCCAAGTGGCTCTTTTGGAGGTCCTGCAGAATGGCAACTGCCACTCGCCATCGTCGGGTCTTCGTTGCCGCACTCATCGCCGCGTTACAACTAACTAAGTCCACTTCCGTCTCGCTAGAGAGCTGCAAAGCCCACTGCCAGGCCTAGCAAACTGAGAACAGAAACATAGAAACATACATTTAATTTGAAGGTTGACAAGGACATCAATGGCATACATCAAGTGGGAATGCCTTTCGGATTTTTTTGCCGTATCGTTCAAAGATCATTGACCCCTCTCCAAAGCCCTGTATTGGATAGCACATCTTTCAAAAAATAGGCTACCCAAAAAATGCCGCGATCTATACTGTGTTTTCCAAATTAAAATTGCCATTTTGCGGTATCCCGTTGTTTGAACGGTGTCATATTGTGCCTTTGACGCATCTTCCAGCTCAAGGGCAGCCTTTTCAAAGGCACTGATGGCTGCGCTAGTGGTGACCACATTGGGTTCCAAAGACTTCTGGTCCAGTTCTCCCAGGAAACATGTTGCGCGCTGCCAAAGTGCAGCCTTCCCACATGCATTGATGTTGGTGCTGTAAAGAATCAAATTGGCCTTTGATCAGGACATGCAGGGTCAAAGCCATACCGTAGGACTTTGGCATTGAAACCTATTTATAATAAATGGGTATCTCCGGGAACTAACCTTCCTCAGCAACCGAAGATCAAAGCAAAAATGTTCCACCACTGAGCACCTCAAAGGGGCATCATCAAATGTCTGTAGATCCCTCAGAAGGTGTCCAGCCAAAGGCCATGACACACGTGCGACCACTGCCCCATAGGTGATGACGCTTGGCCGAAGCACCTGCCTGGTCGTTGATGACAACAGACACAGGGCCTTTTGCCAATCCTGGCGCTGCTCACAGAGCTACACCGCGACTACCCACAGAATGTCTAGTCCCTACGGGCAAAGCCAGGATGAACAGTAGAACCTGTATTTGTTTCTTCATGCACATGTGTATGTACAAGTATGTAATATAACTACATAGAAGTATAGAGTATGTGAAATAATATTTAGGAGATTCATCTAGGATAATGTAGGTACGTAACGTATATGTACTTATATCTCTGTTTATTAATCTAATCTTGTGGTGTTTTTATTTGTCAATGATCTATCTATCTACCTATCTACCTATCTACCTATCTACCTATCTACCTACCTACCTATCTACCTATCTATCTATCTACCTATCTACCTATCTCCTATCTACCTATCTACCTATCTATCTATCCATTTATCTATCTATCTATTTTATCTTATCTAATCTGATCTAATCTATCCATCTATCTATCTATCTACCTATCTATCTATCTATCTATCTATCTATGTATCTATATGTATCTATGTATCTATATGTATCTATGTATCTATATGTATCTATGTATCTATATGTATCTATATGTATCTATATGTATCTATATGTATCTATATGTATCTATATGTATCTATATGTATCTATATGTATCTATTTGTATCTATATGTATCTATATGTATCTATGTATCTATGTATCTATATGTATCTATGTATCTATATGTATCTATATGTATCTATATGTATCTATATGTATCTATATGTATCTGTATGTATCTATATGTATCTGTATGTATCTATGTATCTATATGTATCTATGTGTATCTATATGTATCTATATGTATCTATATGTATCTATATATATCTATGTATCTATGTATCTATATGTATCTATATGTATCTATATGTATCTATATGTATCTATATGTATCTATATGTATCTATATGTATCTATATGTATCTATATGTATCTATATGTATCTATATGTATCTATATGTATCTATATGTATCTATATGTATCTATATGTATCTATATGTATCTATATGTATCTATATGTATCTATATGTATCTATATGTACCTATGTATCTATATGTATCTATGTATCTATTTGTATCCATGTATCTATATGTATCTATATGTATCTATGTATCTATATGTATCTATGTGTATCTATATGTATCTATATGTATCTATGTATCTATGTATCTATATGTATCTATATGTATCTATGTATCTATATGTATCTATATGTATCTATGTATCTGTGTATCTATTTGTATCTATATGTATCTATGTATCTATATGTATCTATATGTATCTATGTGTATCTATATGTATCTATGTATCTATGTATCTATATGTATCTATATGTATCTATGTATCTATATGTATCTATGTATCTATGTATCTATATGTATCTATGTATCTATATGTATCTATGTATCTATATGTATCTATATGTATCTATTTGTATCTATATGTATCTATGTATCTATATGTATCTATGTATCTATGTATCTATGTATCTATGTATCTATATGTATCTATGTATCTATATGTATCTATGTATCTATATGTATCTATATGTATCTATGTATCTATATGTATCTATATGTATCTATATTTATATATATATGTATCTATATGTATCTATATGTATCTATATGTATCTATATGTATCTATATGTATCTATGTATCTATATGTATCTATATGTATCTATATGCATCTATGTATCTAGAATCTATGTGTTTTTTTGCATGAATTGGCTCCGGTTGATATCTGTCCTGGCTTCTTCTGCATGCAGTGATCGCCTGATTGCATCTTCGCAGCGGCTCTGTTGTGCTGGGCGTTTTTTTGGTGGGCGCAGCCTGCATTCATTCTGGGCATGTTGCCAGCCATGGCATGCCCTCTGTTCACCGGTCATTGCCAAATCGTTTGAGCCCAAGATGCTGCTCAGCCCGGTCGAGCGAAAATCAGTTTCAATGGAAAATCTCACTCTGCACTTACCCTTCCTCCCTACCGACTAAGCTGGCGCCTCCGTCTTCTTTACGCAGTGGGACTGTTGGTGGGACGTTGATCTTGTAGCAAAGTGATGGCAAATCTTTGACAAGAAAATTGTAGAGCTTACTGTACATTGAATGGCCCACTCTTCCTTGCTGTCAGAGACAACCAAAGATCGTGAAATCTGATGAAATCTGTGGATGAACATGGATCTGCTCGGAGTGCAAGTACAATGGAACTGGCGATCCAACAAGTATGAAAGTTAATCGGGATCATTATCTATTTGTTGGCGATGGAAAGACACAATATATAATATTATATATATATACGTATATAATATGAAAGATGTGAAGATGTGAGCCCACCCGCCAGCTAATGTCACTCCCTCAAAACATGGAATTGTGCTTTTGCTCCATCAGAGTGGCCAGTATTCTTTCCATCTCCTGCAGGAGTTTCTGGCTTGCCAAAAAGCAGCTCATCAGTGAGACAGCACCAAGCGCAGCGGCACAGGTCACGGCATTCGGTCTCAAAGTGAAGGTCTTCATCTGATAAAAGAGGTCAAGTGCATGTTGCCAATGCTTGCTTCTCTCACATGCGCTTATGGCTGCTGTGTACGTCACGACATTCGCCCCCAATTTCTCCGTCGCTTCACTGAAGAGAAGTAGGACCCGCTGCCATTTCTCTGCTTTTTCACAGGCGCTCAAAACTGCATTGTACAGAATGAGGTTGGCTTCCAAACGGTAATCGTGGAGTTCACCAAACAAGCCGATGGCCTGCTGCCATTTTTGGGCATTCTCACAGGCACTGATTGTTGCACTGAAGGTGATCACATCACTTTGGTATCCCAAAACATCTTGAAGTGACAGAGCCAACTGCCAGAAGCTGGCCTTTTCACATGCACTGATTGCCGAGTTGTAGCTAATCCTCGGCCAGGTCAAAAACAGGGAAGTGCCTGGCACTCGGAGGGAATCCTCTAGGACTCTACAAGTAGGAGCTACGCCAAGGGATGTTTTGGCGAATATGGAGAAGAGATGAGAAGAAACTGTGGCCAAGACTATAAAAACTATCATTCAAAAAACTGTTGACACCGCTAATAGAACTAGACGACGGATGGCCCGAGAGCGTAGAGGAGCAGGGTCTTCTCTTGTTAGTATGGAGACACCATATTAGAAACAATATATTAAAGATGTGTTATAGGCAGTCGAGAAGAGGAGTATTAAGACAAAATAGCAGAAGTGCAAGACAATCGTTTGCATCGCAAACACTTTTACACACAGACACTTTTACACACAGGTGCTTTTACACACAGATAGTTTTACACACAGACGCTTTTACACACAGAAGCTTTTACACAGACGCTTTTACACACAAAAGTTTTTACACACAGACGCTTTTACACACAGACGCTTTTACACACAGACGCTTTTACACACAGACGCTTTTACACGCACAGAAACATTTACACACAGACACTTTTACACACAGACACTTTTACACACAGGCGCTTTTACACACAGACGCTTTTACACAGAGCACACAGAAGCTTTTAAGCAGACGCTTTTACACAAACGCTTTTACACACAGACACTCTTACACACAGACGCTTTTACACACAGACGCTTTTACACACAGACGCTTTTACACACAGAGACGATTTTGCATCACAGAGGCTTTTACACACAGATGCTTTTACACACAGAAGCTTTGACGCACAGCACACAGAAGCTTTGTGCACACAGAAAAAATCGCAATTTTACCTCAGTTTTTGGCGATCGAACCTCATTTCGTGCGAAAGGATTGCGCGGGACGACTTGAACTCTCACTTTTACCTCAGTTTTTGGCGATCGAGCCTCATTTCGTGCGAAAGGATTGCGCGGGACGACTTGAACTCTCACTTTTACCTCAGTTTTTGCCGCTCGAACCTCATTTCGTGCGAAAGGGTTGCGCCGGACGACTTGCAAATCGCAATTTTACCTCAGTTTTTGGCGATCGAACCTCATTTCGTGCGAAAGGGTTGCGCGGGACACCTTGAGATCGCAATTTTACCTCAGTTGCCGCTCGAACCTCATTTCGTGCGAAAGGGTTGCGCCGGACGACTTGCAAATCGCAATTTTACCTCAGTTTTTGGCGATCGAACCTCATTTCGTGCGAAAGGGTTGCGCGGGACACCTTGAGATCGCAATTTTACCTCAGTTTTTGGCGCTCGAACCTCATTTCGTGCGAAAGGGTTGCGCGGGACACCTTGAGATCGCAATTTTACCTCAGTTTTTGGCGCTCGAACCTCATTTCGTGCGAAAGGGTTGCGTTTCGTGCCGTCTCGTTGGCACTGCCCCTGCCCCCGCCTTCAGAAGAGAAATAGAAAAGAAGGAGAGGGCAAGAGGGCAAGAGGAGAAGATGTGAGAAGATGTGAGAAGATGTGAGAAGATGTGAGAAGATGTGAGAAGATGTGAGAAGATGTGAGAAGATGTGAGAAGATGTGAAGGTGTGAAGATGAGAAGATGTGAGAAGATGTGAAGATGAGAAGATGTGAAGATGAGAAGATCTGAGAAGATGTGAGAAGATGTGAGAAGATGTGAAGATGAGAAGATGAGGAGAAGATGAGAAGATGAGGAGAAGATGAGAAGATGAGGAGAAGATGTGAAGGTGAGGAGAAGATGTGAAGATGAGAAGATGTGAAGATGAGGAGAAGATGTGGGGGATGAGAAGATGTGAAACAAAATGTGAAGATGAGAAGGTGTGAAGATGAGAAGGTGTTTTACAGACCCCCACTATTGGAAGAACCCTGCGCTCAGACGCTCTCGGGAATAGAAGAACAATCTTGCAAAAACCGAGAAACACGTTGGGCAGCAAGTGTTCCATTTCCATGTCGTTCAGCAAGAGAAGGGCCCTCTGCCATTCACGACGCTTCTCACATGCGCTGATTGCTGCATTGTATGTGATCTCCGTTGGGTGAAGGTTCTTGGCTTCAAGCTCAGTTAACAAGTTCAAAGCATGCTGCCATTCAGCTGCTTTTTCGCATGCGCTGATGGCAGCATTTTGTGAAATTATGTCAGCTTCCAAACGCCAGCTTTCGATACAACTCAACACAAAGATTGCCATCTGCCATTCCTCAGCTTTTTCCAGAGCACTCAACACTGCATTGTAGGTGATAATTGTGGTTTCTATGGAGCGCGTGGCAGTCTCGTTCAGCAAGGCCAATGCATGTTCATATTTTGCCGCTTGGCCACAAGCACTAATGGTTGCATTGTAAGTAATCACATTGGCTTTCACAGCATGGACCTCAATTTCGCTCAACAAGAAAAGAGATTCCTCCCAGCGGCTGGCTTGTTGACAAGCGCTCAGAAGCGCCCCATAGGTAATCACATTTGGAGACAGCAGCTTCATCTCGAGATCAAATACCATCGTCAATGCCCGTTGCCATTCTGCTGCAGCTTCACAAACGCTGATGCTGGCATTATAAGAGACGACATCACCCAGCCTTTGGGTGTGCACCTCTCTCAAAATGCTCAATGCTTGCCTCCAGTTCCCAGTCCTGGGGCCCCTACATGCACTAATGGCCTGGTTGTACTGCAAGAGCCCCGGAGCCACATAAATAGCCATACGTTGCTGGCTTTCCAAAACGAGCTTTCTGGGCAGATGGTGAGATAAACGGAGTGACCCTCAACTTGGGACCTCAATTCCTCAACTCAGACAGTGTAGTTTGATCTGTCTTCAGCTGCGTGTCAAATTGCGTGGGATGCGGTGGCCAATGCGCTTCAGATGTCCAGTTGAATTAACCATCTGTGGGAAGCATAAAAAACCATGGCTTTTGCCTACAAGCATCGGGGTTTCCCTGGAATGTTTATCAATTCTCGCGAGAAACAAACAAGTCCAACAAGTTCCAGCCACTCTCACTTCGTCATGTCCTCCAGCATGTCTGACCTTGGCCAACTGAAGACCAGAGCCTTTCTGCATCTACGCCAGAGAAATAATTCTTTCGCAATTTCACTGATGATTCCCTACTTCTTGAAATGGTGTTCAGCGATGTATCCGCCGACCCCGCTTGCAGCAGGGGGAGCGCGTCAGAGGAGAAATTACCACCAGCAAGGGGCAAGAAGCAAGAAGCAAGAAGTCAGGAAGCAAGTGCAAGCAGCAAGGGGCAAGAAGCAAGAAGCAAGAAGGAAGGCAGTAAGCAAGAAGAAGAAGAAGAAGCTTAAGCTTGAGAAGTAGCTTGAAGGCTGCAATGAGGATTTGGAGCTAGTGCATTACGAGCAGCAGCAAGGGGCAAGCAGGTGTAGATTACAGCACTTGGCGCGTTGTGTATGTTCAATTTTTAAAACGAGCGATGCTTTCACATGTTCTTGGCATTCTTCAACAAGAAACGACGTTACAGATTGAAACTAGACGACAGTGTGGCCCGAAAGAAAGCTGGAGGGAGGAGACGGGAAGATAGCACACAAGAAAATATGATGATTAATGCTGCTGGTGGGGAGCTTTTACACAGACGCGTTTACACACAGAAGCTTTTACACAGAGAAGCCTTTATACAGACTGGTTTTTACACGCAGAAGCTTTTACACAGAGAGAAATCTTTACACAGAGGAGCTTTTACACACAGAAGCTTTTACACAGAGAAGTGATTACACAGAGAGCTTTTACACACAGACGCGTTTGCACACAGAAGCGTTTACGCAGAGAAGCCTTTACACTGGAGCTTTTACACACAAGGGCGTTTACACACAGAAGCTGTTACACACAGACGCTGTTACACAAAGAAGTCTTTACACAGAGAGCTTTAACACACGGGCGCGTATACAGACAGAAACTTTTGCACAAAGAAGTCTTTACACAGAGAGCTTCTACACACGGAAGCTTTCACACACAGAAGTCTTTACACAGAGAAGTCTGTACACAGAGGCGCTTTTACACGAAGTGGAAAGGTGAAATTGGCAGCAATTCTTTAGGAAAAACCCTTCGCAGGAGCTTTCGGGAACAAGCCTTCCGCACTTGTTCCAAGGACAAAAACGCAGTTCCATGATTCCATGAGTATGTTCAAAAAAGCATAAGGAATATATTTCTGAAGCAGCAGGTCGTCATTCAATAGCTTTCAAGCCCACCCTGCGATGACATCGAGGGTCAAGTAATCCGGCGGAGCCGACGATGACCGTCAGCTCTAAAATAAATGATTTGCCAAAGCACTCGAAGACTCTTGAAGCCGGGCGTGCAGAATGCAGCTGAGAAAGAGAGAGAGAGAGAGTAAGATCGCAATCGCAAGTGCTGAAACATGTCTTGCAAGACTCCCTAAGCAACAATGTCAAGTGAATATGTAAGGAGATTGCTCTTAAAGCTCAAAAAAAACCTAGCCCAGTTGAGCTCTACACACCAGTAAAAACCTTGCCTTTTCAAGACTCCCGACGTAGATCCTAGCCTTTCTGTTGCTAAGAGTCCACACGACGTGATGCTTGGTGGGCGGGTCGCTCCCGCCTCAGCATTGGTTGCCATTTCGGGGATTATCCGCCGACCCCGGCTGCGCAAGGGGGAGCGCGTAAGGGAAGAAGAGTAACGACAACAACGGCAACAATGACGACGATGACGACGACGACAACAACAGCAACAGCAACAACATCAACATGTTTTGAATGCTGTCTGTGGGCGTTTCGAGTGGTGTCCCTTAGAGTCTTTGGGATTTTATTGCAAATGATTGGATTAGGTGGTGTTTCAGCGTTTCCAGTGGTGTCAGTTGGGACATGTTGGGACACCTTTTGTACGTGTTGCTGATCCAGTTTTTCAAGCTTTTAAATTTCACCGCGCGGCTTGCAGAATGTTCTTTTTCTAGGGCTTCAGAAGGGACATTATTGGTGTTTTTTTCTGGTTCTCTTTTGGCACGTTTTTGGCACGAAATTCAGCGTTTTGAGTGATGTCCCTTATATAAAGCCTTGGAACATCTTGGAACGCTAAAGCTTCACCACATAGCTTGCAAATGTCTGCTTTCTAGATATTTGGAAAGGACGTTATTCATTATTCTTATTTTGACCAGAAAGTAGGTGGTGTTGGAGCGTTTCGAGCGGTGTCCCTGGAAGTCTTGGGACACTTTTGCCAGTGCCCAACGTTGGGACACTTTATATCCGCCGACCCCGGCAGACGCAAGGGGGAGCGCGCCAGGGAATAAGACATTGTCCCATTTGCCATTCGAAATTGACGGCCGCAATGCCCCTGTGTTTGGACTTTTCCTGTGATAAGACATTGTCCCATTTGCCATTTGAAATTGACGGCCGCAGTGCCCCTGTGTTTGGACTTTTCCTGTGAACAGTGTGGATTTGGTAGCTTTGCCACACCGGGAGGTGCTTTTGGTACTCTTCTTTCAGCAATAGCAGCAGCAGCACAGCACCACCACCACCAACACCAGCGCCAGCAGCAGCAGGAGGAGGGAAAAGGTAGCTAAAATCATCCTTTTCTTTGGGTTTCAGAAGTTACATTAGGCATTTTTTGGGCGCAATTTTGATGCCTTACCGCCCCTCGCTGCCACGGTGTTTTCCCATCCGGGAGCTAGCATTAGAACAGAGGGACCAGCAGGAGCAGGAGCAGCAGCAGCAGGAGGAGGGAAAAGGTAGCTAAAATCATCCTTTTCTATTGGTTTCAGAAGTTACATTAGGCACTTTTTTGGTCGCAATTTTGCTGACTTTCCGTCCTTCACTGCCATGGTGCTTTCCCATCCGGGAGCTGCCATTTGAACAGAAGGAGCAGCAGGAGCAGAAGCAGCAGCAGCAGGAGGAGGAAAAAATTGCTAAAATCATTCTTTTCGATTGGTTTCAGAAGTTACATTAAGCACTTTTTGGGCGCAATTTTGCTGCCTTTCCGTCCTTCCCTGCCATGGTGTTTTCCCATCCGGGAGCTGCCATTTGAACAGAAGGAGAGCGGGAGCAGCAGCAGGAGGAAAAGGCAGCTAAAATCATCCTTTTCTATGGGTTTCAGAAGTTACATTAGGCACTTTTTGGGCGCAAATTTGCTGCCTTTCCGTCCTTCACTGCCATGGTGTTTTCCCACCCGGGAGCTGCCATTTGAACAGAAGGAGCAGCAGGTTTTCCCATCCGGGAGCTAGCATTTGAACAGAGGGAGCAGCAGGAGCAGGAGCAGCAGCAGCAGCAGGAGGAGGGAAAAGGTAGCTAAAATCATCCTTTTCTTTGGGTTTCAGAAGTTACATTAGGCACTTTTTTGGGCGCAATTCTGATGCCTTTCCGTCCTTCACTGCCATGGTGTTTTCCCATCCGGGAGCTGCCATTTGAACAGAAGGAGCAGCAGGAGCAGAAGCAGCAGCAGCAGGAGGAAAAAATTGCTAAAATCATTCTTTTCGATTGGTTTCAGAAGTTACATTAAGTACTTTTTGGGCGCAATTTTGCTGCCTTTCCGTCCTTCACTGCCATGGTGTTTTCCCATCCGGGAGCTGCCATTTGAACAGAAGGAGCAGCAGGAGCAGGAGCAGCAGCAGGAGGAAAATGTAGACTAAAATCATCCTTTTCTATGGGTTTCAGAAGTTACATTAGGCACTTTTTGGGTGCAATTTGGCTGCCTTTCCGTCCTTCACTGCCATGGTGCTTTCCCATCCGGGAGCTGCCATTTGAACAGAAGGAGCAGCAGGAGCAGAAGCAGCAGCAGCAGGAGGAAAAAATTGCTAAAATCATTCTTTTCGATTGGTTTCAGAAGTTACATTAAGCACTTTTTGGGCACAATTTTGCTGCCTTTCCGTCCTTCGCTGCCATGGTGTTTTCCCATCCGGGAGCTGCCATTTGAACAGAAGGAGCAGCAGGAGCAGGAGCAGCAGCAGGAGGAAAAGGCAGCTAAAATATCCTTTTCTATGGGTTTCAGAAGTTACATTAGGCACTTTTTGGGCGCAATTTTGCTGCCTTTCCGTCCTTCACTGCCATGGTGTTTTCCCATCCGGGAGCTGCCGTTTGAACAGAAGGAGCAGCAGATTTTCCCATCCGGGAGCTAGCATTTGAACAGAGGGAGCAGCAGGAGCAGGAGCAGCAGCAGCAGCAGGAGAAGGGAAAAAGTAGTGAAAATCATCCTTTTCTATGGGTTCCAGAAGTTACATTAGGCACTTTTTGGGCGCAATTTTGCTGCCTTTCCGTCCTTCACTGCCATGGTGTTTTCCCATCCGGGGGCTGCCGTTTGAACAGAGGGAGCAGCAGGAGCAGGAGCAGCAGCAGCAGTAGGAGGGAAAAGGTAGCTAAAGTCATCCTTTTCTATGGGTTTCAGAAGTTACATTAGGCACTTTTTTGGGCGCAATTCTGATGCCTTTCCGTCCTTCACTGCCATGGTGTTTTCCCATCCGGAGCTGCCATTTGAACAGAAGGAGCAGCAGGGGCAGAAGCAGCAGCAGCAGGAGGAAACAGTTGCTAAAATCATCCTTTTCTATGGGTTTCAGAAGTTACATTAGACACTTTTTTTGGCGCAATTCTGATGCCTTTCCGTCCTTCACTGCCATGGTGTTTTCCCATCCGGGAGCTGCCATTTGAACAGAAGGAGCAGCAGGAGCAGAAGCAGCAGCAGCAG